CCTCTTCTAGTGCGGGGAAGCAAACAACGGTACCGGGCGGCAGACGACCAGGTCTCGAATCTTGGATGATCAGCTGGGCATGTAAGATTTTTTTTTTCCTTCTTGTTTTCTTATCGTTCAGGAATTTTTTTTTCCTCTTTGCCTTCTGTCGTCGTCGGCGTTTGAAAGTTTGGAACGGGAGGCGGGATGGTGCCGCGAAGAGAGTCAGTCAGGCTCAGATCGCATCGGGGCATCACACGCGTGCTTGGCTCGCATCAAGCTTTTTATTTGCTCGTTCGCATCTGCCGGCTTTCGACTTTTTTTTTTTGCTGCGTCGCAAGACACGAGCGGGAGATTATTGGCGCGTTGATGGGTGACGATGGTGGCGGCATCAAGAGCCTCAGGCAGACCAACCAGCCAGCCCAAGCGACCGGGTAATCGCGCAGACCCGAAAGACGTCCGGGCCCCTATCGTTGCATATTGCAGTGTTGGCAAGTTTGCGGCGACGCGCAAAGGCAATATGCGTTCGGCGCGCGCGCCCCTGCGCCGCCAGCACACGCAACAACAAGACCGGTCGCGATAGGGAGGGCTCAGGGACGGCTCGTGAGTCGTGACGATACGCAGGGCGCGCGCAATGCACTCCTCGTATTTTGCTTTTTTCCTTTTTTGCCGCTGCGGCGGTAAGGCTGGCTTGGTCGCAGCGTTTTCTGCCAGTCTGTGTGTCTGCGTCCGTTCGTTTTTTAATTAATTTGATTCCCACCTCGGTCCAACCGTGCTCCCCTTGGCTTTGGCCTGGCCGCCCGCCAGCGCACATCACGAGAGTTGGTCCCCCCTATCGCCACGATCCTCCCTCCTATCTGGATGTGAGGGAAATCACTGCCTGAGCGCCCTAACGGCGAGATGAGAAATGTAATTGCTGGCACTGCTGCTCCGAGCTCGAGAGTCTCGATTCTCGGCGACGCGATTGAGATAGACAGCTTCCAATGCTCCTCTAACTGCAAGCAGTATGTAGCGACAGGCACACGATAATAGCGCGTCGCCTAAGCCTGCAACTCTGCTAGGACGTATGTAGGACGCGCCGGCAAGCTCCATTTTCGCATTGGATTGGCAGCAGCGAGTCACGTTACCCATCATCCCTACCCATAATCCGCAACACCCGCAATTCCCGAGACTACTCCCGCGCCTCGCATCCGACGGCACCGGCTCGCGCACCTGCAATGCGAGGCCGAGTTAAGGCGAGCGACTGCGAGAAAAAACACTGCGGCTGCGAAACGGGCGCCAGGGGAGGAGCCAAGAGCCCTAAGCCCTGCAACCACGCGGCGCGGTACTTCGCGGCATGCTCGGTCGCCGACTGCGGCATTTGCGACCTCCATCTCATCACCCTCTGACTCTCTCGTAAGGCTGACGGGCTGAGACCGGCAGATTGTAGACAGACACCAGACGCGCGGTGTGCTAGACGCCCGGCATCTGACGTGTGTCCATACGATATCTCCCATAGTGCTTCTTTCTTCTTCTGCTGCTGCTGCTGCCGTGCTGTGTGGTATTGTCTAAGAGTTGACCCCCCCACCCCATCTGTCAGCGCGATTATCTCCACACCACCCCCATCCTTCTCGGCTTCAGCACCCAGTAAAAGCCCAGCCTCCCAGCCTCCTCCCTAGCCCGATCTGTCACATCCGTCTCGTTCCGTTCCGCCCAGTCCGGCAGCCACGAGAAGGCGTGAAGCACGATGTCAAGATAGGAAGACAGCTAGATAGCCACCAGGCCACTCGGACCACCCGAGTAGTCAGCCAGCTTAAACAACGCAGACCTCTGGACCAACCAACCAGCTGCCAGCTAGAGTAGAGTAGGTTGAGTCCGCTCGAGGCCGTCACTCCCGTCGAGTCCACTCCAGCTCATCCGGGCGGGCCGACCCGAGTCGGCTCGACCAAAGTCGGTAGGTACCTGGGCACATGCGTACCACGTAGGACAAGGACAAGGAACATCGACGGTCGGGCGGACGGAAGAACATTGAAGCACCCTCTCTAGGGACAGTGGATCGGCTTATGCAAGTAAGCAGCAGGCATCCACCTACTACTAAGCTACACGAGGCAGGCAGCAAGGAGGACACCGCCACCCACACCTTCCCAAACAGGCAACTACGCGACAGGGGCGCTAGGTAGCAGACGACAGCCTACCGAAGACAGCAACAGCATCAACAACAAGAGCAACACACACACACACACACACACACACACACAACGCGCAATCAGGGGCACACCAATCTCGCCGTGTCTTAGCTAAGGCATCAAGGCACCAACACCCATTACATACGCGACGATCCGGCGTCATCGCCCATCCGCCAACGACATCATCGATAATCTGCAACACCAACCTCAACCAACACCGACGTCATAATCACCAGCCCTACGCCTGCGCAACCTCCATCCCGCAGTCCCAAATCCTCGCGTGGCGCTCGCCAGGGGGGATCCAGCAAATACAATTTCCCCCATCCGAGCAGCCCGCAAACGCCCGGCTCGCTCTTCAATGCAATTTCCCCCATACCAGGGCGCGGGCACATGCGCGCGCCGCGCGCGCGCGCAACCGTTACGGAGCCAGGACTCTCCTTCGCCAAGGAGCGCGCGAGCGCTCGGTCGCCCTGATACATGAGCTTGCTTATCAAATCCTGGAGATCTTCATTCAAGGGGGGGCTGCCGATGGGGGGCGCGCGCGCATACGCCGCTATGCCGTCTTTCATTATACTACTAGCTATCTAATCGTCTATCCGTGTCCCGCCTCTCCCGTCTATCTAATCGGGAGGTGCGCAAATCTAATTAAATGAAGCTACTACCGTATCGTGGAATTGGGCGCGAGACTGTGCGCTGCCCGTTCTTCCTGGGGAGACCGCTGCGCCTGCCGGACGATCCGGGGAATGGTGCGCTCAGTCACCGACCGCTGCTTTCCCCCCAGCTTTCATTCCATCACCTCTCTAGGCCTTCTTGTTCGCCTTCTCCAGGTCAATCAGGCTGCGTACAGTGTCGACAATGGACTGCTCCAGGTTGCGGAACTGCAAGCCAAGCTCGCGAGTAGCCTTGCTGTGGTCGACGCGCCAGAACTCGCCGACAGGCTTGCCGGGCTCGCCCTTGGGCACGCGGTCGTTGAGCTCGGGGTAGGCCTTGCGGATAGCGTCGCAGACGGCCTGGTTGTTGTAGACGTCGGAAGAGACAAAGTAGCGCTGGCCAGCAGCCTCCTCCTTCTCGTAGGCGAGAGCGTGCGCCTCAGCCACGTCCCTAACGTCGACGAATGCGGGGAACATGGCCTCGCCGGGCTCCGTCTTGTCGCCCTTGATGAAGCCGTAAATCTCGGCAGAGGAAGTGTTGAGCTTCGAGAGGTCGTCAACGTAGTGCGCGTTGGGGCCGTAGATCATGGGCGGGCAGATGGTCGAGACGGTGAAGTTGGGCTTCTTCTCCTCGACAAACTTCCAGGCGGCCTTCTCGGCAAAGGCCTTGGAGGCCAGGTAGGCAACCGCGCCGTTGCCAGCAACAGCTTCATCCCAGGTAACCGGGTTCCAGTCGGCCTCATTGTAGACGTGACCGGGCCAGGTGCCCTTGCTGAGGTCGATGAGGGCCGCGAAAGACGAGGTGATGACAACGCGCTTAACCTTGGGGTTGAACTTGTAGGTAGCCTCAAGGACCTCAGTGGTGCCCTTGACGGCGGGGTCGAGCAGGTCCTTCACGTTGTCCTTAACCTCGAGAACGAAGGGAGACGCGGTGTGAATAACGCCATCGACGTCCTTGACGGCCTCGTCGAGCGCGCCAGGTGCAGACACGTCCGCAACGATGGCGAAAGAGAGCTGGCTGAGGTACTTGGCGTGGGTCTTCTTGACCTTCTCGGCAGTCGCCTCAGAGCGAACAGTGGTCCGGACGTTGTAGCCTCTCTCCAGGAACGAGTTGAGGACATGGGCCGCGAGGAAGCCGGAGCCGCCGGTCACAAGGACGGTCTTGCCCTTACCGGTGACGGAGTTGACGACAGAGTTAACGGTTTGCTTGACGGTCTCCATGTTGGATCTGCGGAATGAGTCGCGACTGGTGGGTGCGGACGGGACGTGTGTGGGGGCTGAGTGAGAGTGAGGCTGAATGAGGCTCAAAAAAATGCAGAAAGTGAGTCAGGACAATGAAGCCGAAGGAAAGCTATATAATTCACTGTAGACGGAGATAGGGAATAAACACAGTGGCAACATTGCTTCAAAGATTGCACTAGAATCTTCAGAAACAGACAGCATGGTACGAGAAGCGCACGATTGATGATGTAAAAAGAGGGCCCTGCGACAGATAGGTGGCGAGGGATGACCTAAGGATGGCCTATGAGTATGAAACGTAGGTCTTTGGCAGGTGGGTTATCGACAAGACGGGAGTCACATATCAGTAATCGGCCAGTGCTGCGACGAGAGCCATCGGGCAGTGAGCGTGACGCGGCCGCGAGGCGCGATTGCCGCAGCTATCGTTGCGAAGGGATGCCAAGTGCGACATTGTAGGTAGCAGAAGGTACCTAGAGAGTGAGTGAGAGAGACAAAGAGAGAAAGCGAGGCTCGAGGCAGGCGCACGCGGGGGCGGTACGGCACAGCGCCGGCATCGCAGGAGACGGGCCGAAGGAGCAGTCTGGAGGTCTGGAGAGAGCTGAGGTTTGGCGACTTTCGCGAAAACAGATGATCCGAAAAGGAGGACGGTGAGAAACGCGGTGAGGCTCTCTAGTTCGTAGCAGCTCGCGTGGCAGGGTCCGAAGCGACGTGTCTTGGAGCCTCCAAAATGTCGGTCGGCCGAGGCGTGCGAGGGAGCTGGAGGGTGGCCCTGCCGCAAGACTGGAGGCGGACAACAAAGTGGATGTCAGCGATAGCGTCGCGGCGCACAGGCTGGACCGTTTGTGATCCGCGGCTCCTGCATCGAAGGCTGCATGGAAGCCGGAGCGCGGCGCTCCAATCCCGGGGCGGCCTGTCCTCTCCCCCCGGCCGCGAGCGTCGCTTGCCGCATGCAGAAAGGCGCGGTGTCTGAGCGTGTGCCTATCGCTCGTTGCACATGGCTCACCTATTATACCCAGCGTCACCGCCCTTTGCAAAGCCTCCCAGAGGCATTTTCACCAGTAGAATAGTTAGAAAGGCATTGAAAAAAAATAAAAAAAAAATTGTAAGCACAGGCCTTGCCTGCTGAGTGGGCACCTCCTCCACCACCTCCTCCAGCCCCAGCATTTCGCATTGCGGCACGCACCCACGCCTGGCCGCTCCCGGCTGTGGAAGTGCAAAAAACATAACGGCACAGAGCCCATTGGCTGGCAGTGAGGGCCCACATCTTGCTCGCATCTCGCGGGCAGCTCCACCGCTGGAAGCTACCCTGCAGATCGCAGCGGCGGCCGTTCGCTGTCGACGCTAGCGCGCTGAACCATGGGGAGCGTGGAGAGGCTTTCGGCGCGCGAAGGAGATGTGCCGATGATCCTTCGGCCTTTGACTCCAGGTCAGGGTTCGCCGAGGCGCCCCCATACGTCAAATCGCGCACCCAGGTCGCATCAGGCGCCCACCAGGCCCAAAGGCCGCTAGCGCAAGGGGAGCCCTTCGCCTCAAGCACGCTGCCCCAGGAAATGGGACAGGACAGCACCGCGCGACTCTAGCCCGGCCGAGGCCAGGCCGCCCGCACACACACAGACGGTCAGGGTGGCAACTGGGAAAAGTAGCTAGTTCGTAGAATGGCCATCGCGTATCGGGCTGGACAGTCCAATGGCTTCAATCTCCGAAACCCCACGGTCTCGCTGGGGGTTGACGTAACGCCCAAAAATCGCGCGGCTGACCCGGCCCTGCTCCAGCGGCCGAACGCTGGCGGAACGCACGGCACCGACCAGGGTAGAATCGCCGGGACGTCACTGGTGCATGCTTGCCTGGCCTGGTGGTCCGTGGGCGCTGGAGCTGGGCCGCACCTGGGAAGGGCGTTTCTCCGGGGCCCAACACGCCCACACGCGACTGTCCTTAAGAAGGCTGCCGTCGCGCCATCCAGAAATTTTGCTCCTCGCTCTTGTTCGTCCCCTCGTCTCCAGATCGAGCGTACAAGTGTGCTGCTGCGCCTGGCTCCTGTCGCAACCCCTCCCGCAGCGGCGGATCCTCCCCTCCTCTCTGATATTCTTTCTCTCTTCCACCCTACGCATCCAACTTGCGCCTCTACGAACCATCAGAGACCCCTACCACTTAGTATAATACCTTAATATTCCCATCACCATGGGCAAGCACGGCAAAGACGTCGAGAAGGGCGACCCCGCCCAGGAGTCTCACCGCGACGAGTACGAGGGTCTGGACGAGTACGCTGCTCTCCAGAAGTTCATCACCACCTACCGCGACCCCAAGGCCGCCCATGGCGAGTCCACCGAGGCCGCCGGCGAGGGCGAGGGCAAGAAGAGGGGCTGCTGGCCCTTCGGCTCCAAGAAGGGCGGCGCCACTGGCGGCGGCGACATGACCGTTCCTCCCAACTGGCTCGAGGCCGAGATCAACCAGGGTATCTCTGAGAGCGATGTCCAGACTCGCCGCAAGCGCTTCGGCTTCAACGAAATCACCACCGAGAAGGAGAACATGTTCCTCAAGTTCCTCGGTTTCTTCCAGGGTCCCGTCCTTTACAGTAAGTCACCCGCTCCAACCATTCGACCAATGAGCGTCGCGCTAACCCTGCCCCAGCTATGGAACTCGCTGTCCTCCTCGCTGCCGGTCTTCGTGACTGGGTTGACTTCGGTGTCATTATCGGTATTCTCTTGCTCAACGCCATCGTCGGTTGGTACCAGGAAAAGCAGGCTGCCGATGTCGTCGCTTCCCTGAAGGGTGACATCGCCATGCGCGCCAACGTTGTCCGTGACGGTCGTGAGCAGAACATCCTCGCCCGTGAGCTCGTCCCCGGTGACATTGTTGTCCTCGAGGAGGGTATGACCGTCCCTGCCGACATCCGTCTCATCTGCGACTACGCTACTCCCGAGGACTTCGAGCGCTACAAGGAGCTCCGCGACGCCGACAAGTTCGAGGAGGACGACCCGGAGGGTGAGGAGAAGGACGAAGAGGACGAGAGCGACAAGAACCACAAGTACGGTCAGCCTCTCGTTGCCTGCGACCAGTCTGCCATCACCGGTGAATCTCTCGCTGTCGACAAGTTCATGGGCGATGTCTGCTACTACACCACTGGTTGCAAGCGCGGCAAGGCCTACGGTGTTGCCCTCAACTCCGCTAAGCACTCTTTCGTCGGTCGCACTGCCATGCTCGTCTCCGGCGCCAAGGACCAGGGTCACTTCAAGGCCATCATGGACTCCATTGGCACGGCGCTGCTCGTCCTTGTCGTCTTCTTCATCCTCGTTGCCTGGATCGGTGGTTTCTTCCGTCACCTCAAGATCGCCACCCCCGAGAACAGCTCCGTCAACCTTCTCCACTACGCCCTCATCCTGCTCATCGTCGGTGTCCCCGTCGGTCTTCCCGTTGTCACCACGACCACTCTCGCCGTCGGTGCTGCCTACCTTGCCGAGCAGAAGGCTATCGTTCAGAAGCTCACTGCCATCGAGTCCCTCGCTGGTGTCGACGTTCTTTGCTCTGACAAGACTGGTACGCTCACTGCCAACCAGCTCTCTCTCCGTGAGCCCTACATTGCTGAGGGCCAGGATGTCAACTGGATGATGGCTTGCGCTGCCCTCGCTTCTTCCCACAACATCAAGTCGCTCGACCCCATCGACAAGGTTACCATTCTCTCTCTCAAGCGCTACCCCAAGGCTCGTGAGATCCTTCAGCAGCCCTGGAGGACCGAGAAGTTCACTCCCTTCGACCCCGTCTCCAAGCGCATCACCACCATCTGCCACTTGAACGGTGACAAGTACATCTGCGCCAAGGGTGCCCCCAAGGCTATTGTCAACCTCGCCAACTGCTCCAAGGAGGTCGCCGACCTCTACCGCGACAAGGCTACCGAGTTCGCTCGCCGTGGTTTCCGTTCCCTTGGTGTTGCCTACCAGAAGAACGACGGTGACTGGATCCTGCTTGGTCTCCTCTCCATGTTCGACCCTCCCCGTGAGGACACTGCCCAGACCATCATTGAGGCCCAAAACCTTGGTGTCCCCGTCAAGATGCTTACTGGTGACGCCATTGCCATCGCCAAGGAGACTTGCAAGATGCTTGCTCTTGGTACCAAGGTCTACAACTCCGAGAAGCTCATCCACGGTGGTCTCACTGGCTCTACCCAGCACGATCTTGTTGAGCGCGCCGACGGTTTCGCTGAGGTCTTCCCCGAGCACAAGTACCAGGTCGTCGAGATGCTCCAGCAGCGTGGTCACTTGACTGCCATGACTGGTGACGGTGTCAACGACGCTCCCTCTCTCAAGAAGGCCGACTGCGGTATTGCCGTCGAGGGTTCCACTGAGGCTGCCCAGGCTGCCGCCGATATCGTCTTCCTTGCTCCCGGTCTCTCCACCATCGTCCTTGCCATCAAGACTGCTCGCCAGATCTTCAACCGCATGAAGGCCTACATCCAGTACCGTATCGCTCTGTGTCTCCACCTTGAGATCTACCTTGTCACCTCCATGATCATCATCAACGAGACCATCCGTGTCGAGCTGATTGTCTTCATTGCCCTCTTCGCCGATCTTGCCACCGTCGCCGTCGCCTACGACAACGCTTACTCCGATGAGCTCCCTGTCGAGTGGCAGCTTCCCAAGATCTGGATCATCTCTGTCATCCTCGGTGCCCTGCTCGCTATCGGTACCTGGATCATCCGTGGCACCATGTTCCTGCCCAACGGTGGTATCGTCCAGAACTTCGGCTCCGTCCAGGAAATCCTCTTCCTCGAGGTCTCCCTCACTGAGAACTGGCTGATCTTCGTCACCCGTGGTGGTAAGACCTGGCCCTCGTGGCAGCTCGTCGGCGCCATCTTCGGTGTCGATGCTCTTGCTACCATCTTCTGTATCTTCGGTTGGTTGTCTGGCAAGCCCCAGATCACCTCTCCCAAGGACACCTTCAACCAGCGTCTCGACGGCTGGGTCGATGTTGTCACCGTTGTCGTTGTCTGGTGTTACTCTATTGGTGTCACCATCATCATCGCCATCGTCTACTACATCCTCAACCGTCTGCCCTTCCTCCGTGACCTTGGTCGCAAGAACCGTGGCCACAAGGACGCCCGCATCGAGAACATCATTGGCCGCCTCTCCAAGCTCGCTGTCGAGCACGAGGTCGACCCCGACGGACGCGGCAGGTACCACCTGGTCCAGAAGGTCGCCGAGGAGGAGGAGGACTAGATGTCTTACACTGTTACGCATCACGCATAGTCTTTCCCGGTCCTTCCAGTCGAAGGACGCAGGCATTTGGGGAGTTGGTGTTGTTACGCATTTCCTTTTCACCTCTATAGTATAGATATAGACCTTAATGCGACTCTGAGGTAATTCATGAACTCAAACATTTAAAATACTACTTGTGCCACTACAATCATCTGTGACTTGAGTGACTGGTTTCTGGAAGTGACTGCGATTGACCGATCTAGCTTGGCGTCCTTGTCTAGAGTACCTTCGGCGGAGCCCAGGGCTCCGGCCTTGGTCACGGCAAATTTCCGCACGAAAATTCTTCACGACGGCACGGCAAAAGTCTATCGAAGCAACGGCAAGTCTTTCGCGCGACAACGAATGGACGCACAGGGAACCAATTCCTCCACTCGGCGGTGAAACCGAAAGACAGCCTGTCCCTGTCGGTGTGCCGAAGATGCCTCAGGCCAACGTCGGCTTTTCACCCGCGCGGACGAGTCAGTCGCCGTGGGGCCTCGGGCGGGACCTTACATGCAGGCCAACATGGATGTGGGGAGTGTCTTCCGTCGGGCGGACAGAAATGACTCCGTCTTGGATTGTCAGCAGGCAGAGTAAGACCGATGCGATGTGTGTGGAGTTGACAATCTATTGCTTCAGGGGCGGCTCGTACTCACCGCCGCGCTATAGACTGGGTGGGCTGGGACTATTTGCTCTGGCTTGGCGGCGGCATCCCACGCCAGCAGCCTCACTCGCGCGCACATCCCCAACCTCGCCAGTTTCGCAAATGCCTGCGCCAAGCAATATGGGTCTTCACGATGTGCGCCGCTTTGTTGCAGCTCTCGTCGCAGCGCGGTCCGTCCAATGACGTTGGCTCTCGGCTGGCCCCCATGCAGCGGCCACCTCAACGACCAACTCACGCGCATCCCAATTTCAACCCTGCTCTCGACTCCCCCATCCCCCACAGCGCGGGCCAGCGTCTCGCGCCTGCCGCGACAAACCGAGCCTTGCTCGACGACGTCAACCTCGCGACTTGTCGCTCCACTTCAAGTTTCGACACTGCCCCCGTGCCTGATGGAATGAAGCTCGAGTGCGCGTGCCTTTCGCTACCTGCCAACTCCGCAAATGCCACCCTTCTCCACACCGCGCCTGTGCCTGACCCCGGACCGCTTGTTTTCTCCGCCGTCAGGCGAGCAAGCTGGAGGGCACCACCGCCGAACCCAATTGCCTCGTGCAACATGCTTCTCGTGGCTGTGACTGATCTGCTCTGCTCGTATTCCCCCCGCAAACGTCATCGCCTCTCTGTCGGTGACTCCTGACGAGAATGCTTCGCTTGCCTTCGATGTCGGGTGCTCTCTCCTTTCTGTAACTCCCATCTTCTGACACGGTCGGTTGTCAGGAGACGGTCTTGTTTGTCTTGTCATTGCCTTGTGTGGTTTTGCGAGTCTCTAGCTTGCGAATCCTTCTCCTTTGCTTGCGCAACCTCGACTGTGGTGCTCCCGTTGCACCCTCAAGAACTTCGTTGCAGTACGCGTCGTTGACGCAGCTCGACATTGCCGGCTCGAAGAACCGCAAGGAGACTCATTCTGCCGCGACTCCAATGCCAGGGCGCATTTGCGGCGCCATAATGGATGTCATTGCATATTGATTTATGGAGAATCACAACGGAGAGCAAGAGCAACGTCTCAGCTTGGTGAGAAACTACCGGCCTTGTAGTTTGCCTCATAGGAGACAACATGTTATGACACATTGCGGGTACAAGAGAGTCTGGAATTGGAGGAGCTGGGAGAGGAAAGTCTCGTTGCCTTGTCATGCCATGATCTCGCAACCATAGAAGCAGAAAGAGCTTGGGTCCAAGTAGACTGTCGGTAGGGCTACAAACATGCATACAAGCTTGCAAGTCTGACTTGGCTGGGGCGTCCTGGTAAGCGAGTAGCTTTGTCCTGACAGCTCTAGCTTTGGCGGGCTTACGCGCTGTAGCTCGTAAAGACACGATCTTTCGATTGTTGCCATGGGTTGATGGCACTACCCAGCGCCTAACTGGTCTGAACTTGCACCGAGCCAAAGACAACAAACACGCTTGTCGACCAGCACGTGGCCAGAGACATCCTCACGATGATCCAGACTCCAGAACTCCTTTACTCGACTAGTTCTCACGGTTGCCATGGAGGCTGAGTCGGAGTAGTTGAATCCTCAGTAACAAATAGCGAGGTTTGTTGACAAAGAAGCACAACCAACCAACTAACCCGCGCCTCAGTCCATCCGCCTATCGCCAGCTAGGACCGCTCAGCCTCCAAATCGCACCACAACTAACGCCACAACACACACCACCTACCATCGACACGAACACGACCGTCTACCACAACAGGCATCCAGACCGAACGAGACCACGCGTCGCCCGCGCCCGTCTTCGCGCCATGCAGCCAGCCAGCGCCTAGCCCGCAAACAACAATGCCCCCTCCTCTCCCCCATTCCCAAGCAAGTCCCAAAGCTCGCAGCGTCGCGCCGCGCCACGCCCCACCCCTCCCAACGCCGCCTCGCTTCCGCACCATCTGAACAAGGCTACAAGCAGCCTTCGCAGCCTGCTTTTGTTTCTGCCACACTACCTACCTGCCACATGCTACTACTGCGCGCGCCCTGAAATCTCAAATCTCCGGCTGCGCCCTCTCTCAACGCAAAACGCGCCGCTCCGCTCCTTCCTTCCCCCCGGCGGTCGGGCCTGGCCCGCCGACCCACTCGCTCCACGCAAGCCAGCCGCCTGCGACCTTGCTTTCCAAGCTTTTTTAACCCAGGAACCAAGGTCTGATAGGAGTACCTAAGGAGTGCCTAAATCGCCGCTTCGCGCCGCCGCCGTCGCCGTCCGGGCCGCGCGCCCAAGCCCGTTTCGTCCAAGTCAGGACAGCTCGGCGTCGGCTTGCCGAGTCGGGCGACGCTCGGGCCGCGACTTGCTCCGCGCTCCGCTACGCCGACGAAAAAAAATTGTCAACACCACGCTCACAAAGGGGATCGCGACGGCAAAAGTGCTAGTACACTGGTAAAAAGAAAATGCAAAAGAATCTTCCGTTGCGGGGAATCGAACCCCGGCCTTGCCGGCACTTGTTAGAGTGTTGTTGCTCTTGTTATGAGAGCGGCAAATCCTAGCCACTAGACCAC